AAACAACAACAGAACATGGAAATATTAAAATCTGGAAAAATCAATCTGTGAACAGTCATAAGACTAAGCAGGGATGGGACAGTTATAGAGATTTTTATACCTTGGTAATTCATGTCCTTCATGGTATAAAGGATGATTGATTATTTACTATCACGTTACAGCCAACATTCCCACAGACAACACATATTATGATGAAACACCAGAGATTCCATAGAAGTTCATCAATGATAGCTGTGGTGAAATAATGTCATTTGTGATTTTTAAACATTTTTTTTTTAATAATGGATAAATATTTTAATGATATTATCGAAAACCGCAATATCATGATGGGAAAGTTTCATATCGTCCCATCCCTAAGACCAAGTAATGGTTTGAATGTTATAGATAACTGTAGGACAGTGGTACTGTGGCTTCTAAAAAGCCTTAACGTATGAAGCAGACTTGACAGCTCAAGTTAAGAACAGGAGCTTGCACTCAGAAAGCAGCAGCACTGTCTTCCAGGACCAGCTTGGCTGTAAGCTCATGCTGACTGTAACCAGAACAAACAAATTCTGAACCTCAGTCAGCATTCTTGTCCTCAACCACTCTACTTTATATATGGGGATTATAAAACTGGCACTGACCTTCACCAGTGGTTCTGATCTTGACCACCTGTGGAAAAGTTCAGTGTCCGTAGCAAGAGACTAATCGTGAGTCCACTGCTAGATAAGGTTTGTTTAGCACCATGGATGCAAACAGCACATGAGATAACACACAGCATGTTACTTTTCCTTATCAGGTGTATACACACTACAGACACACATCTCTATTCAGTGAGCTACCTTGAGAATGGCCTCACCTTGAATTTATCATCCATCTGTCTACATATCATTTCCAAAACAATTTCATATTCATCGTACACAGCGTGAGATCATTTACAGGCCCTTTAAATCTTGTTAAAGGAATATTCCAGCATTTGTAATCTAACTTCTAACTGTTGTGACTGTACTAAGTAAAAGGAAAGGTAAAAGGGTTAAAACTATTGTCAATGGTAAAGCACCATAAAGACTGTAATGTAACAGAATACAAGTATTGGGAACACATAATCAAAACACAGAAATGAGGTATCTGTTTTTAGTCCAAGTTATGTTCTGTTAAGGCAGTATTCAGAATACAGTTATTAATAGTAATTTTTTATAATTTTTAAAGCTTTAAGAGAATATTTTGAGAATACTTACCCACTACACGTTAAAAATATACACCATCTTTAAAAGACAGACACTCAATGATTGTTTACTAAAAAGGAACTCCGTCGATTTTTCAAAATGTCTATATAATTGAAAGGTTAAGATGCAAACAAATACATTTAGAGTGGTTTACTATGAAATGCTCCATTCCAGGGAAACTCATCATGGCAGAATTGCTTAAAATTGTCATGACAGGAACCAGATGTCTGAAGAGTTTAATTGCCTCTAAAAGCTACATCACACACACACAAAAAATATATGCTATATATATATATATATACACGTCCATTGCTGTAGGAACAAAATCTTCATCCAAAAAAAGCGTGATGTGTTTTCCATTTTGAACTTGCATCAACGTCATTATTTATGGTTGTCTTACAATTGAATTTGCATTTAAACATTAGTCTTTAGATCAAAATTTCTTTAAGAAAGAAAAATGCATATTCAGTTATGTGTGTCCAAACTTTTGAATGGTAGGGTAGTTTTAAGACACAGTTTTGGTCTTAACTGCTTTTTAAAAATAAATTTCATTGTGGGCAGGTATGTGGAGGGTCTTGTAGGGCAAAATAGTTCTCGAAGAAATTGTTTTCTTTTGAAATTTTTACCATCATCAACTTTAAATGTAAAAAACTCAAAAAGTCAAGTGCAGGTTCACTGGTTATGTTGGATACTAAATAAAACGTTTGCATCGTGGACGTTGTGACCCCAGGTTCCTATCACCACCACTGCAAAAACATTTACCTAGGTAAGTTTCTCTAAAACGGAACATTTAACATCAAACCACTCTGAATGACTCTGTTCACATCTCAATAACAGAGTCACGCAAACAGTTTGAAAAAGTTGGTGGAAATCTCCTTTAACTATTTTTAAATCAGTGTCCGGCATATATAGACGTTCTCTAAAGAAGAACTCAAACAACTGCGTCTTTATAAACACACTGAAGTTCCTGCTAAAGCCTGAGTAGACTGATAAATCAATGTGATGAACCAGTTATTAATCTCAACTTTACTAAACTCCTTTGAGAGATGATGGAACTGAAGAGTCTGCTCAGTAGTAAACATGAGTGACAGCTTAGCATCCATGTTGTACTGAACTCCTCCATGCATACAGCAAGTTACAAACACATCATTAACCCTTGTGTGGTGTTGCTGTGTTTGTTACTCAGTGGTCTGGTAGACCCACCGCATTATTGGTTTTTGTTTTTAATCAATACAGCCATAACAATTTATGTAAAAAGACCAGATGTTTAAAATATCACAAGTGTCCAGCGTAGAGTTCTCCTTTAGCAGCTGTAGCCAGTCAGCAGCCTGTCCATGCTGTCCACCCTCACACACACATATACAAACACATACACACACACACTAACAGCAGGTCATGTAGGAGGAGAACAGAGTGAAGGACACAGCACCTCCACACTTTTATTCCCCGCATTTCACCCCAACACCACATGTGTATTCTAAATGTTTAGGGGGCTGAACAGTGTGAAGGCACTGAAAATGTGTTATTTTATATGTTCTTCACAGAAAATGAGCAAAGGCCAAGGAGCCTGGGATTGAAATTATAATAAATCACACGTTTTTCTTTTGGTAAACACTGAAAATGGGTCCCACAGGCCCCAACACCACACAAAGGTTAAGTGAAAATCAAATAGCTACTCACTTTATAGTCCAATTTGTTATTGTCAGATCCTGTTATTGGGATATGGTGAATTGTTTGCTTAGTTCATGAGACCGCAGTGAGATTACGGGAGCAGCAGTGGACAGAAACAGGTGATGAGAGCCAAAATAATGGTAAGAACTTTGTAACTTTATTTTAAATAAGTGATCTTTTAAATAAAAAATTTAACAGAAGAATTACGTCAAGAAAACTGCCAACCAGTAACAGCAACGAGCAGTGTGAATGAAATGAAAATCACAAAAGCATCGTTTTCTCATGTGCAGATAGCAGAGATTAAACTGAAAAAAATAATTTCAAAGCAACTTCTTACTATATGTGTAATACATAAGGCATCAGCTGCCTTATTGAAACTGTTCTGATGAAAAAACTGAAATGATGCTCTAAAAGAAACATGAAAAGAGGTGAGCTTTCCCCACCTCTCCGTGTTACTGAAAAGCCATTACTTCATCTTGTAATCAAAAATAGCCAACCATTTTCCCCCCAATTTCCTTCACCACAGCATTCATCACGGCAAGGCTGTGCTGCCTTCCCCCTGCTTCACAAAACGCTATTCTCTCGTGTTTCCTCCACAATAACAGCAGAGTACACTGGAGGACACACCTGCAGGTTTCAGTGTGCGTCAGTGCACAACTGCAGCCAAAGTCAGACCTTTAGATACAACTTATCACCTACTAAACAGTCAACATTCAATGTGTTTGAGCCCAGAAGAATGAACAATAGCCATTCAGTAGCACTGTAATGACTCAGTAGCTTTAGATGGTAGTACACTGTGTTATGTCCTTCAGACAGGCTTTGTATATGACTTCTTAAGCAGTTCGTTCCCACACCGTCATGAAACCAAGTATGATATAGTGCTGTGGTCATTTGTACATTGGCATATTTTGGAAACAGGTTTCCCCATGAGGGCGCCTACAGCTCAGGTGGCCATACACTGTCAGACAAGTGAGTTCAGAGAGTGACACAGTTCTCTCATGCATAGGAAAACACACACATTGGTGATACTTCTGTGTATGTGTGAAAAAGCACAGCTTGGAAAGACCCCATTTACGTTGTCATCTCAAGTCATACTTCAATACACCCTTTTAAAAAGTGGTTCTTCAAGGGTTCTTTAGTAAATGGCAAAGTAATGGCAATATATACAGAACCGTGAACACAAAGTACCATTTGTATGCGTAAATGGTTCTTCGTATGGTTTTTCTCTATGATGGAAAACCTGATGTACATGTAAACATGATGAAAAAGGTTCTACGCAGCACTTAAACCGTGTTTCATCGTTGTTAAGTCATAGAACCTTTTTGATATCTCAAAATGTTACTCAAAAAAGGGATGTTTTCAAGTTACTGAAAGATCCACTGCACACTTAAAAAGGGTTCTTCAAGGGTTCTTTAGCAAAGGAAATGACGACGTAATGGCAATATGTATAGAGCCGTGGACACAAAGTACCTTTTTAATGCGTAAATGGTTCTTTGTATGGTTTTTCTCTATGATGGAAAATCTGATGTACATGTAAACATGGTGAAAAAAGGTTCTATGCAACACTAGTACCAGGTTTCGTTGTTGTTACAAGTCCTAGAACCTTTTCTGGTACAATACAAGATCCACCACACACTTAAAAAGAAGGTTCTTCAAGGGTTCTGTAGTAAAGGCAATGGTTCTATTCAGAACTATGAGTTCGATATAGAACCACTTCATTCTTAAATGGTTCTTCTTTGCATGGTGAAATGGCTCTTCAGGTGTGTTGTATGTGGTTCTGTACAGAACCCTCTTGAAAATGGTTCTATGTTGCACCAAAAAGGGTTCTTCTCACCTATTCAAAACATTACTAAACAAAAGCCTACCTGGTTAAAGAATAAAAAAGCGAAAGAGCAGGTGTTCTAAAGAAATTATCTCCTAAAAACACCGTCTTGTACTTCATAACTTCATCGATTTTAAATCACTGTAAATGGTTATTCGCCATTCTGAAACTTACTAATATGCTAATATGCTACTCCACTAAAAAATAACCTACTTAATTACTAAAAAAGCAGCAGCCTACTAAAGATACTCGTTGAAAATTCAGGCTCAAAAAGTAGTAAACAGTATTCTCTGCTAACCTACCTGAGAAAAGCCACAGAAATGTGAAAGCTGACAGCAAGGTGCCAAGTTTCTCTCCGACTCGGGGCTCCATTCCTCAGCATATGAAGTCTGTCCGCTCTTCTCTCTCCTCTCGCTTCTCACTCCTCACGTTTCCTCTTAGTCCTCTGAAAGACTCCCGTTATCTACACACGCACCGCCTGTGGCGAAGGCAGAGCCGGTTAGCAGCGTCTTTCAAGTGCTCTTCCTAAAAAACACGACCCTCTTCAAAAAGCTCACAGACCCTCAGAGCTGGAAACGGCTCAGGTCTCACGTTCGACTCCTCGGTCCACACAGCGAGACGGAAACTTCTCGAAGTGCCATGGACTTCAACAAAGTAAGCGACAACAGTGACGAATGTGACGTGCGAGTGAGTTTTTTCAGGTTGCACTTCGACCTCGAGCCCTCGTGCTCAGCTCAGTGTGAGGTGAGCGGAGCGGTCACAGCGACTCGCTCTGCTCGGTACAGCGAGACTAAGCTGGCTGTTGCACCTGCAGTAGAAACGCCCCCCTCCCCTCTACAGTAGGTGACACGTCACCGCCTCTTCTACAGGTGAATATGGCCTGCCTGCGCGCTCACACGGTGCGCTCCCCGCCACCACCTGTATTCACACAGGCCCCGCCCCTCTGCGCTAGGATTGGCGGGCTGCTTGTGAGTTTGAACTACTAATACCAGAATACGGGTGGGGAAAAAATCACACATACAAGGTGCATTTCAATCAAATAACTGAACCTTATAGCTCTACAATTAAAGCCTCTAGTCCACTGTTTCTACGCTTAGTTAGTCCCCTCTTACCCCGTACTTCAATGGTCAGGACCCCCACAGGACCACCACAGAGCAGGTATTATTTGAGTGGTGGATCATTCTCAGCACTGCAATGATACTGACGTGGTGGTGGTGTGTTAGTGTGTGTTGCGCTTGTGTGAGTGGATCAGACACAGCAGTGCTGCCGGAGTTTTTAAACATCATGTCCACTCGCTGTCCACTCCACCACTGTCCACAGTGTTCACAGGACGCTGCCTACAGGACGCTGTTGGCTGGATATTTTTGGTTGGTCTTATTCTATCTTATTCACTTGTTCACGGATTACAGACATATTATTACAAATTTTCTAGTTCTATACCAGAAAACGTTTTGACCAAAATAAAATGTTTTTTGTGAGATGTACACCAAAAAGCAAAACCTTTAGCCCTACATGTTATAAATAATAATGTATTATGAAGGAAAAAGTAGTAGTTATAATAATAATAATAATAATAATAATAATAATAATAATAATAATAAAGTAATGAGACTTTTGCATGCAAACTCTAGGTCCATTTCTGAGCCTGTTATGTAGACAACTTCTGCTCTGCTGTCAGCAATCCTGACAGTGAGGATCAACACTTTCATGCTCTGTCCCTGCGCTCGTGTTACCGACTACACAAGCTCCAGAATGGAAAACCTGGACCTGCACACTTTAGTGTTTTCTCCTCTTCTATCACACCTGACTGAATCCATCAGCTCGTCACAGAGCCCTTCCCCGAGTTTGAAGTGAGGGTTAGAGCGGGGAGAGTAGTGAAATATGCATTGCAGGGTCGCTCCAGCAGCGAGACTGGAAAATACTGAGCTAATGAAGCAGACGAGGGGGGCGGGGCTTATGGCTGCGAACCTCTTCATTGGCTGCGGAGCCGTACATAGGGCTGAAGCCCCTCCCCTCCGCCGGCTGTGTTTTCTTTCTCCGCCCCCAGGCCGGTTAGTTTCCATGGAAACAGCGCTGAGGCTGATGCGGTGTGATTCGGCCGGTTATTAGCGGCGGATGAGCTCCGTCTTGCGATTAATACCTCGAGCTTTTCAGCTCGTGTCTGAAATGTAGGCTACTCACTTCCTCAGGAGCAGCTCACGAAAACACGAAGAGCGAGCCGAGAGTGACAGGAAAGCAATATGTGGGTGAAAATTTGCCTCCGGGACTGGCTTATGTTCACCAGAAAATAGTGTGAGGCTTCATATAGCTTCCACACAGCAGGAGACTCGCACTGACTGGAAGTGTGCCTAGTAACAACTTCATAACGGATAAGTGCGGCGGTGGGTAGAGTATCCTAAAACATAACCGATTCTCTCTGAATTTCCTCAGGGAGAAGTATTATCACTTCAGTAAATAAGGACTCAACAAGAAGTAAAGGCAACCAGCAAAAACGAGGCGCCGAACCAACAGAATTAAACACTAAACAAAAACTAAAGGTGAACTGAGTAAAAAGTAAATACCTTTCCTTACAAAAAATAGTCCATTTGTGAACATATAATCATTTGACAATACACAGAAGCGTCAGTTCACTATGTGCTTTACACAGGATTATACCAGAGCCGCGGCTCTGGATTATACAACGGTTAGTTCTATGGTTGAGAGGCGTTCTAACTGTGCTGTTATTTCGCCATAACATCACGGGTTTTTCACAAACACTGTATCACTCCGCTGAGACGCCGTTGCCAAGCAACGACTTTGACAGCTGTAGGAGACGCTCAAGCCATTTGAACGTTTTTACTTCTAACTTTGCCACAAACAGAAAATGGACACTTTTAAGATCAAATTTGACCGACAGCCGATTTGGTCAGACTCTGAAGACGAGACTACACTAAATTCCCAAACTGTCAGTCGGTCTGTGTGGAGCTGGAGAACGAACTGCCGGCTGTGCAGCGAATGAGCGGAGCTCGTTACTCTGACGTAGCAACAAACTGCACTATAGGAACTATAATTTGGCCGAAGGAACTGCGAACATTAAAACATATTTAATGCCGCGTTCACGGCCCAATTTATTAATTTATTACTTTATTTATTTAACTGTTGTATAAAAGCAACAGAACACTTGAGGTTGAGGAGTGTGTTATCGCGAATAATATCACGGCTGTTATGATCTACGGCGACCGAATCACAGCCGTGATGTTATTTCGCGATAACACGCTCCCTCTCGCGTTCTATCACTTAAATAGCAGCTACTAGTAAAGGTCACTAATGGAAGAGGTTATGCAGTTACATGTATAGTTCTACTGAATTACATGCTGATGGATCTGTATTTACCCAAATATTTTCAAATGATAATACTTTTATTAATACTCCAGCACATTTGTGATGAAAGTAATACACTTTTTACTTTGTTACTTTTTTTCATTAACATTTAGTTATTAATTCCTTTTTTGTGTTTGTCATGAAGCTACATTGGCAAAAGCTTCTGTACTGTTTTGTGTTTGGTCACACCTCTGACTGTTGAGCTTACCATTTTATTTTAGACCAAAAGAATCACAAAAAGAGAAGAACAGAACTTAAAAACTTCAGTTTCTATGCTGGCAGATGCTGGATTTACTAAAAAGCTCACTAAAAACTTACTAAAGTTACGCAGCACATAAATAGTTTGTTGAGCTCGTACTTTTGTACTTCTGCTCTATTAAGTTGTTCTGGAAAGGTACTTTCACTGAAGTAACAATACGTTTAATTACTCGGTTTAGGATACGCTCTTAGAAAAGGTGGTTCTCAAGGGTTCTTTGCATCATTAAAGATTAATGGAGAACTGACGGAGAATGTGTTGTAGATGTTTCTTTATAGAACCTTTTTGCTCAGTTCTATATAGCACCCAAACAGGTTCTTTGATTGTTACAATGTCAAGCTTGTAACAACAGAAGAACCCTTTTGGCTGCTCTATATGTGCTATATAGAACCTTTTTCAAAAAGGTTGTATATAGAACCATCTACAGCACATTCTCCATCAATCCGAGGAACCCTTCCATGATGCAAAGAACCCTTTAATCATGTAAAGTGTTCTTTGAGTGTTCAAAATTCTTTACAGAACCATTTTCTTTACTAAAGAACCCTTGAAGAACCACCTTTTCCAACTAGTTACTACAGACCTCTGCATGTGTGAATTTGCAAGCTATGTTTAATGTGAATTTTCACATTGAATGTTCACCTGTTACAATACAGAGTGTGTTGATAGAACATGCATGTCTGTCTATTTTATTACTCCAGAGACAGACAGTTAGGTGTTTGTACTCCCAGTGCTTCCCAGTCATAAACATTCATAACATAATGTAGGAGCAGAGTCCAGGGCAGCAGCACCAATCACCTGCCTCTGTGCGTGTGTGTGTTTGAGCAAAGGAAAACACTGAAACGGTTTACAGTGCAAGTACAGATGAACCATCAATACAAAGGATGCCAGGTCATATCACAGCACCATATCATTTGAACATATACATCTGTGGGAATTACACAGCCAAAGCTAAGGTATATTTATTTTCGTAAAACGAGGCCTGATAAACGTCAAAACTTTCACTTGATCTAAATTTTAGCATTAAAAGTCTTATTAACCTGTCACTCAATACAGGATGGACTCAATACAGGACGCAATACAATGTAATACAATCATATTTTTCACTTTCTGGCAGAGCTGTGAACTTTTTCTTGGGCAGTACAGTTACCTCACGCCTCATGTGCTACACTTAATAGGGAAAGTAGACTCTTAGTTTTAATAATTCATTCTCTTAGCACGTGTTCGAAGCAAGATCAGCGCTGCCTCCATTTCCTGTCTGCAAGGCTTTCGGTCACTTTTACATCAGGGCTGTGCAGAACAGACATGTATTACATCACACTGACCAGAGTCATACATGTAAGTACACAGGCTCTACAGGCCTTTTGGGTTCAATTAAACTAATACACTTCTGTGATCCACGAAGCTGCACTCTGACAGGTTGACAGGCACGTTTAACACACTACACCGATCCATAGGCAGCCATACGTACAGTTACTTAATTATTCACTACTGTACTATGTAACATTACACACAATTTGTTCACAGGGACTGGAGCAACACATCTGGCTTTCTGGGTTCCTACTGCCATCTCTTGGTAGCATGGTGAAGAAAACAATGAGAATTGCAAAGTGAGCAGTTTTCCCCCCAACAATCTATAAAAAGTACCTTCTGTAACTCTTAAATAGCAATGAAGATGATCAGGTTTAAAAAGTGTTAAGATAAAGAAAATAGTAACATTAAAAATAAAGAGAATAAAATACAGACATCACATAAAAGGCTTGTTGCCTAGCCTAAGGAGCAGGGCGTAATGATTTATGTTGTAGATTTTGTGATGCGCTAAAATGCTAATTCTTGGCCAAATCTAAAATTCAGGAAATCTGAAGCCTGGAACAAAACCTGAAACCAAAAACCATTTAGATTATACACAGCATAAATTACACTGATTTATTTTTTTTCTTTGAACATGCTGTTTGAACTCATCAGCAATGACTGGTGCAGGAAAACAAACGAAACAGCATCTTTTTTAACCACTATTTCCAATCATCATTACCACTGAAATGACTGAAATGATCAATGTGCTATATTTTGCCATTATGTTTAATTAAATTTAACCTTATTTCATCTTTAACAAAAAAAAAAAACCAAAGGCATTTTTACTATTTTTGGCATTTCCAATGGTTGAAATTGTGGTGCATCTCTAACAATTTTTGTTTTAATGCTAAAAAAAAAAATAAAGAATAAAAAATATCTGTGAAACACTTTTTCTGTTAACATCATTATTAAATGGCAGATGAGTGAATAGTGCCCCATTTATTTTTTTTTCTCCCAAACATGTAAACAATACTGTGATCTGGAAACAATTATACATAAAGACACTGTGTGAGTCCACAAATAAAAACAAATATAAACAAATAGTTCAGATACTCTGAAAACATCTCTTCAATGCTGGAATGCTTGACAACATCAATATTCTTAAATATATATATAGACTTCTGTAGCGATAAACTTTATATTCAGTTCATTTCTTCCCAGTTTTTGATGGGAAATTAAAAGTGCCCTTGTCCCAACATACACTTGTATCATTTGACTTCTGATGCATCGGTAGATAAAAATAAAGGCAGTTTTAAAATGGAAAGGGCATCCCCGAGATGCCACTCTCTCCCTTATTTCAACCTGAAAAGGCCCAAGGCTCCCTGATAAAGCGATACTGCAAGGGAGAAAAATCCGCCTTCCTGAACATTTTCAACCCGGGCAACCAGACTGAAAACACAACTGGACTGACCAGACTGAAACAAGCTAGATTTTCCTCAGTCAGAGTTCTACAATTTCTTAACCAGTTCTTTCTTCTGACTGAAAAGTCTAGATTACGAGGTGACTGGTGCCTAGATTTCTTTAACATGGTTGTGCAACACAGACTTTAGTCAAGTACATCTTTTAGGCTAAGTCAATAGACATTATGCAGTTACAAGCTGTCCTTCTTATTGAACTTTAAGGGATACCCGACTGCGATTTCTAAACATTCCACCAGGGATCCAGCAGAGAGAAAGTCCAGCTCCACCTCAATGAATTTAATGTAAATGGGCAAACCAGAAGAGGAGCCCTCATCCTTGGGCCGGCCAGAGCAGTTCTCCTGTAGAAACTTGGTAACAGTGGATGGCTCACCGCGACCACAGTACTTGCCTGAACTTTGAAAGTGTTGGACCAGACTTTGCTGCAGTGTGCGGTCCTCCGCTATGCCGAGGTAGCAATAAGTCACTTTGGCTGACGTACTATTTCGCCTTTTCTCACCCGTCTCTGGTTCTCCAGAGGAGGAACCATTATCCTCTGCACCGGAGATACCAGTCCCTGTCCTCTCCTCATACCCAATAGCATAGAGGCCGTATGTTTTCGGTATGCCGCCTGGCAAAAGGTACTGTGAGCCATTGATGCAGCCTGAACTGCTGGTTTGTGCAATACGAATCCAGTCCACCTCCATGTGGAGCTCCAGGCAGCGTGCTTCGCTGATCGTGATGTCCAGAAACTTATAATACACATTCTTCCAGTTCATCTTCTGCACCTTGGTCATGATGACCCTGCCTTCTGTCTTTTCGGGGTTAAAGTATTCCCGCAGGCGCTTCCCCAGAGGCACCTGAGAGCTGATCTCTGCGTAGTGGTAGCGAATCTCCTCGCGCCAGCGAGTGTTGTAGCCCACGCCAAAGATGGCCAGCTTGTTGGAGAGGTGAAGCCGCGAGAAATCCGTCCAGGTCTGGAAGTGCTCCCATTTGACTTCTACAGACTCTAGAATGCGCATCACGTTCTGCATCACTTCTTGACGCCTGCAGGAAATCACACAATAGTATATGCTTTGAGAAAGTACAAGCCAAAACATCCATCATAACACTGTCAAAGTAGGACTAATAAATTAATAAACAAAATGTAAATAAATATAGAATGCAATGATATGCAAATTAGATGAACCCTGTTTTTAATTAAAATAGTACAAAGACAACATATTAAACACCAAAAATGAGAAATTTTACTGTTTTTTTAAATATATGCCCATTTTAAATTTAATGCCAGCAACATGTTCCAAAAAAGCTGGGACAGGGACATCAACTCTGTAAGTGTTTGGGAACTGAGGAGACCAACTGCTGTAATTTTGTAATGTTTTCCTATTCTTACATGAAATAGGATTTCAGCTGCTTAACATTTCATGATCTCCTTTACTGTATTTTTCATTTTCTAATGCACCAAATGTTGTCAATGATGGCAGGTCTGGACTGCAGACAGGCCAGTTTAGCACCTGGACTCTTGTACTATGGACCCATATTATTATGTGTAGAATGTGGTTTGACATTGACTTCCCTGAAAAAAACATCATCTGGATGGCAGCATATGTTGCCAAAACCTGTATATATCGTTCAGCATTAATGGTGCCTTCACAGATGTGCATGTCACCCATGCCATGTGCACTAATGTACTCCCATACCCTCAAGTTTGCTGACTTTTAAACTGTGCTCTGATAACAAGCTGGGTGGTCTTTAGCCTGGAGGACATGGCGTCCATGATGTCCAAAAATAATTTTAAATTTTAACTTATCGGACCACAGGGCACTTTTCTGCTTTGCCTCAGTGCATCCTAAATGAGCTTGGGCCCAGAGAAGGTGGCAGCGTTTCTGGATCCTATTTATATATGGTTTCCTCTTTGCATGGTAAACTTTAACTTCCATTTGTGGATGCAGCGACCAACTGTGTTTACAGACATTGTTTTCAGAAACGTTCCTGAGCCCCTGCAGTGATTTCCACTACAGAATCGTATCTGTTTTTAATGCAATACCGCCTGACTAGCCAGTATTAGTTTTCAGCCTTGTCCCTTGCATATAGGGATTTCTCCAGATTCTATGAATCTTTTAATGATATTATGTACCGTAGATGATGAACTCCCTAAATTTTATGTTGAGAAACGTTATTCTTGAATTGTTGCCCTATTTACTTCACAGTCTTTCACAGAGTGGTGAACCCCTCCTCATCTTTATCTCTAAAAGACTCAGTCTCTCTGAGATGCTCTTTTGACACCCAATCATGTTACTGACCTGTTGCCAATTAACCACCAGGTGTTTTTTTTGGCATTACACAATTTTACCAATCGTTTTTACCAAACTTTTTTTTAAACGTGTTGCTGCCATTAAATTCAAAACCAATATATTTCTCAGTTTCAACATTTGATATGTTGTCTTTGTACTATTTTGAATAAAATATAGAGTTTAAATTATTTGCACTGTTTTTCTGTTGTCTTTTTATTTACATTTTGCACAGCTGCTTGACTTTCTAGGAAACGGGATTATATACAAGAAAAGTATTCTACATGGTGCAAATACAATGTGCCAAAACAATAGTACAAATAAATTTGAATAAAACATTGATTAAGTCTCCCAAAGATATTCCTTTTTTAAAATTCTTCATTACTGAGACTAATGAGAAAGAGTTCAAATGACATCACGATGTAGTGCATATCGGAACTTACTGGGCATGCTCAGAAGCCTCTGGTCTTAACTGTAGAACTCTGTTCTTTGGAAGTTGAATCTCCTCTGTGAAGAATAAAAAAGGTGAATGATAAATCAACACCAAAATTATACATCTGTAGTTAAAAAAAATACTTTAAAATGTTGACTGGCTGGTGTAATACAATTAAAAGGCATATAGATTATTTATTAGTACCTTAAATACAACCGTGATGTAAAAAAGGATTAGAAGTTTACACATATCAGTGCCTTGTCTAATTGGAAATCATGCATTCTATTAAAGATTCCAATCTCTTGTTGCAATATAGCGTCAGCCACCCACAGAACTAGGCGTAGTGTAATATGTGGAGCAGGCATGTATTATTTTGTGCGCCCACTGATGCGCCAATTGTGTTATGTGCATCTTCACAGGCACTCCTGCCCTCTAGAGGCAAAGCTCATTTTTAGCTGATTTGGTAAACTCCAGTTTCAACAATAGGGACAGCAGTGTTTCTTTTCAAGCACTACCACAGCTGTGCTTGCTCACCAGCCTCTATTTCTCCCTCCTGGAAAACAGCAGACAGGTCCTGGTTGCACCAGTCCTCCTGAGGGTAGTCCTCCATCGTGCTGCCATCTGACTCCATCTCCTGATACAGACCGCTGCTGTTAATCAGGACCGGCTGGCAGCTCTGGGAGTCCCAGCCTCCCTGCCCAAACACCTTCTCCAGCTGCTCAATGGAGTAGCTGCTCTTTCGCTTCCCAATGCCATGCTCCTTCACACGGCTGTAGCACCGCCGCAGGGTCTGCAGACAACAATGACAACTGTCAGATTTGGGTGCACCAAGGCACTGTATTAACATGCCATGAAGTAGTATGTTAATATAAAGTGCCACACAACCACACATGCACACATATATCACTGTATTATGTCAGCTGTGGCAAGGATGAAATGATCAGCACACCGAGAGGCACTGACTTATGTTATTGACGGAGGCAAGTCTTTACTTTAAACACATACAGTGTTACAACTAGCTGCTTGAGACAGTTAGGCCCTGTTCACACCTGGCATTAACATCCAATTCAATTGATCGGATTGCAAGTGGACAGCAAGATGCATAACCGTCTACATTTGGCATTTCCATGGGTCTCGAACACGTCTCCAGTGACCACTTACAATCGAATTGTGTGACTGAAGGAAGGACCCCACACACATTTATAACATCAGTCTCTCATGCATTTGTTGTCCTAGTTCATATGTAAGGGCTGTTACAAACATTTAGACCACATGAATGGCACAACAGGGGAGGAGACAAAGAAAGAAGCTACAGCTTTTATCTCTGCAGTGATAATGCAGCTGATTAAGACAGTTCCTTGTTGTTGCTGGGGACACATCAAAATGCTTTAGCATTCACACAACCAATGTCACATGGTGATATGCTTTTCTGACAGCCTTCAAAGGTGGTTTGAATGACTGGTTTACAATGCATCTCCAAGATGTACTGGACTATGTTCACACTCGTACTTAGTGCTGTCCACTTATGACTGCATATATCAGGACGCATGTTAATACTACATGTGAACGGGGCCTAAAGTATCTAAAACCAGATGCAGGTAGTGTAGCCTAATCCTATCCTCGAGTAAAAGTATTACCACTTCAGTTAAATAATGTGAAGTAAATGTATCTACCATGAAAACAATATAAGCAAGTATGTGTTCAAAAAAAATGTAAGTACAGAGTCGCCTATAGAATTTCAGTGTACAATGTAATGTTATTTACATTAGTCACATTGTAATTACACAGAAGATCGTTTTCCGGGCATAGTCTTGTAAGCTCGAAAGCAAAAGCAAAGCTGACATGCTGTGACCAAATAAAGAGAATGGAATTAAACCTAGAAAAGGAATTAGGAACTAAAACTGAATGACTGAAATAGAGTTGAGTTAGGAGTCTCTCCGCACAAGTACATTTGTATTTATAGAGGTATTATTATTATTTGAGAATGCCTGGAAAAGTATAAAACCTTCAACTCAGCCTAAGTACATGGAACTGAATAAACAGACATAGTTACAACCCACCTCTGTTTAAAAAAAAAAACAAAACTGCAGGCAGGTAATTTAAGGTAACAGCACAGTGGAGGGTATAATTGCATGCTAGTACGCCACACCGCTCACTGCCACTGTGTTTTGATCCTGACAGCTTAATCAAAGGCGAAAGGCAATGCTGACTAACGCTCAGCCAGCAGCAAAATACAAGGCAAAGCTGGGTAAGATGATGACTGGACTCCAGTGTCTCGGTGATCCAGCTTCATAACTGAGCCGAGCACCAGAATGAACACATCGGTCCTTCTCTGCAGAGAGGAAGATGCTTCACTGCTTTACCTTCATCCTCTCCCGGCACTGAGACGGGGTCCTCTCGTAGCCCAGCTCCGCCAGAGCTCTCGACACCCGCTCGTACATGGCCGGTCCAGGCGCCTTCCCGGAGAACACGGTGCCCGCCACCTCCAGCTGCTGCATCCTCGCTTCGGCCAGCCTCTCGTTGCCCCACACAGCGATGAGCGCGTTGGTCTCGGACGGCGTCCACGACATGCCGCGGCATACGGTGAAGCTATTGCTGTTAGAGGCGGCCGAGGCCGCGCCGCTCCGGCCCGACGCCCCCGGGGCCGACACGCCCACGTTCAGAGGGGAGAAGCGGCTGGGCGTGGAGGAGTTCGAGTGGTACGGGTTACCGTCACTCAGGTCCTCCGAATCCGGCGACGGAGCCTCCGTTTTGGGGGCCTTCAGCGGCGCCGAGGGCTCAGGAGAGCGCTCCGCGTTACTGGGGGCCGCCATCTTGCTGTCGCTCTGTTGCTAAGGGGAGGGAGGGGGAGGGGGAAAGTGTGACGTAGGCGCTCCCGAGCGCTCTAGCGATAGGTTAGTCCGATTCAATTCACCGAATCGATTCGTTCAAACAAAAAACTTTCAGTGATTTAAACGGCCGATTCAGAGGGCCACTGACTCACAACTCAGCTCGATTCTCATTTACTCGTTTATTACGGATCTAGACTCGTAGGAGACATGTCTCTAAGCACATTGTAACTGACATAAGCACAGTTCAAACACATAACAAAAAGGGAAAAGCTACCCTCTACAGACTGAAAGGGTAAGCCGTTTTAAAAGGTTGCTTTTAAAATGTTATATTGAATTACTTTATGATTTTATGAAATGGAAATGCAAAAAAATATATCTATATTTGGATTTTGTTACCATCCTCCAGCCTGTAACATATGCGTAAACTTTGTGTAGATGGTCACAATCGTATGGGTTTTGTATGGGTTCGAACAGTCGAAAAGAACCGGTTCAGACGAACGATTCTTTCGCGAGTCAAACATCGCTAACGCGCGAAGAGGTGTCAACAGCGCACGGCGGCTTTGGAAAGCTGAAAAAGCTAAACAGTAAAGCTATGTCTGGCATTTAAACGTTGTTCCTAAAATATTCCAATATTAAAACGAAACCGCTGTAAGACGACTGACTAGATTTGGTGCCGGCTGTACAGCCACGCTTAGCCTAATCCTCTTCATTTTCGTTGCTTGATATTAACCATGTGAAGATTATAACTTCATTTCGCCTTTTGTCCGCTAGGCGGAGCTGCTAATCTTTTTTGCAAGCAGCAGGTGAGGTGGGCTTCATCAGCATTAAACTGGCCCGATCAGAACATCCTACAACTAGCAGTAAATGTTATTTACAAATATGTACAGATGTTTCATTTACGGTTTATGAAAGAGCAGTTTTGCGTTAACAGATTTATATTTTAACATCCTTCCATAAATTGCTTTCATACAAATAAAATACCCGATAATGTTACAACTTTAAACTTTTACAACTTAAAGGGGAATTCCACCGATTTTTCAAAAAATTCTGCATAATTTAGTCGTTAAGATCTAAACAAAATCATTCACAGTGTTTTGATATGAAATTGTTCCTTTTTTATATCGCTGTTGTTGGAAGAAAACCTTGTATAGCCAAAATGGCAACTTTACAGGAGAAGGAAAAACCTACTTTACTTTTAATGTAAGTCAGTGGAACCAGACTTTTCCAAGCCATTTTGAGCCATTTCATTTGGTCCATTCATCATGAAATTTACACACAATGTAAAGAAGTATTTTCAAATTATGTCAAAAACTGAAAAACGACAAAAAATGGAGATACAATTTTTTCTTCCGACAACAGCAATATATAATGTAGATAATGGTGAAACACTGGTAAAATGGGAATAATACATTTTCTTTGGGGAATATTTTGCCTGCATGGACCACTACACCATGAATAAATGAAAAAATAAGCTTACGGATCTAGCTATAAGTTTATAAGCTTATTCTAAAACAATGTCTTAGGCCTCAGGCAGCATATTCATAACCGTTTCATGTAATAACTTTCTATAATGAGGTATCAAATACTTCAGACGTCTGGTTCCTATCACTACCACTATGAACAATTCTGACTCAGTATGATTCTCTAGGAGTGATCATTTCACATCTAACCAACCTGTATTACTTTGTTTACATCTTAAACATTTAACTCTAAAAAATGTTAATGTTATATGGTTTTCTGAAGAATCACTATATTATCACTTTTTACTTCAAGACTTGTCAGACCCTTTGTGACTGAATATTTTATTAATGTGCTTTAATGTGTTTGTATAAATGTGCTTCTATGTCGCTAATTAGTATTTCAGTTGGATAAGAGCTGGCCACATCTGAGCTGCTCTCTTAGTAGAGTGATGGGTAACAGATCTGTCCCTGCATGCACTTCCCTTATGTGGCAATTAAGGAGTGTAATACTGCTTTTGAGTTCATTTTTTGTGGTGAAGGGCTGTCATTTGTCATCCTAGAGGGAGTACAGCTTAATTCAGCAGCGGCTTCACCAGCTGTCCACCAGTTAACTCTTATAAGGCCAGAGGTCACGACCTGGCCGAATATATCCATGTGTGTGCATGTGTGTAGTGTGCACTGACAACTTCCATATGTTTTGTGTCTGCTAAAGGTTAGATATGAGGAATCAAGAGACAACGTAACCTTTAAGCACTGAAGATCTTTCCTTGGCAGGCAGCTGTGACAAGAAGAGCTGGTCTTGAGGGCCTCACAGATACTGCAACATATCAGTGTCTATAAAAAGACCAAAATAAAGTGAATCTACTAGGTTATAAAAGAGAATGAAACTGTACTTGGTGTTGCTTAAGTACTGAAAAGTACAGTTGTAAAGCCCAGTGGAATAACTAGTAGTGGTAGGAAACCCCAGGCAGTTCACAGATCAATTTAATTTTAATTCAGTGTGCCAAGATTTGGTTATAAATTTATTCTTGATGCATCTCGATTCTTGATGTCTATGGCCTACGTTACTTTTCCACCTGTATTTGTCATTATAGTATATGTAGCAGGGTTTAGTGTAGAAACTTCTACTTTATAACAAGCCTATAACACCACTCTGCTATTGCTAATTTTTATGTGAGCAACTAACCTTTTTATTTAAGTTTTTTGGTAGCTTTGCCAACTTGCTAAGTTTTCACTAATGAGTTTTCACTTTATTGGGGTTTCCAATGTTATGCTAGCACCAAGCTTACATTGCTGTACCTTGACTTACCCAGACATTTGGACATTTGAAGCTTGTAAGAGACATTCAGGTATCATATTTTTCATGTTTATGTGCAGGTTTAGAGTTAGTCCTTCAGTATATGCTTAAACTTAAAGCCTAACCCTGAATATCTGAAGTTGCTGCCATTGGGCAGGCGATTAAAGGTCCCACTAGCAAGAAAGAATGGATACAAAAAACCATTTGTGCCCTCTGTAAGTGTTTTAAGTGTTTTATGTATGTGTATATGTATTTATGTGCCAGATTGCCAAAGACAAATTTCCAGTTCATGCAAATTTAATGGACAATAAAGTTTTCATATTATATCTTATCTTATATTACTGGACCAGCTTGTTAGCCTGTTAGAAATTTGCCGAAGTGGTTCTTAAACAATGCTGCATTCTTACGTAAAGTACGTTTACTATGGTTTTGGGCCTTTTATGTCATATGCATGAAGTTCGTGACCAATTTGTTACTGCAAACATGAGTGCATTAGTAAGATCCTGCATTTTTGTTCCCAAGATAGGCTGTGCTAAAGTATGAAATTTGATAATTTCTCTGGCTATGTGTGATAAAGTGCGTCCCTCGGCCCGGCAGTACGCTGTGGCAGGGGACACACCTTATGGGTAGCGTCGGGCAAGTGGTCCAAGTCACTGGAATAAATACAGCTAATCCAAGAGTTCTTCTCCCTTCTTTCATTAAAAATTGACAATGTAATTTCCTCATTTACTCTCTATTATAAGTTGGAACTGTAATGTATACTAATGGTTTAAGTATATTATTATGTTATTGTAGCTACCCACACGTTACAATTATGTAAAATTGTTTAAATAGCGATACAAGGGGCCCAATGAAGACTTTAGGTGGACTGGTGACCACAGCGCCCCATGCAAGTCCCCAACACTGCCAGTGGTTACACCACTGGTACAGCTAGTGGAAATTCACAGAAACTAAACCAGCTGTAAAAGACCAACAATTTTAGGTGACGCTTTATTTTGAGTGATCCTTTTTAGATGAAACAAGCACTTAACAGACTCTCAATAACATGTCAAAAACATATGAGGGTTAGGGTTAGGCGCAGGGTTAGTGTTAGGTAAGATTGGGTGTTGGGTGTTTGGTAAGGTTGGGTTAGGTTAGGTTTAGGGTAATGAAAGTGAGACATACATCATCAATACATCTGCTTAATGAACAGAACATCTACAAGATATTTACTTCAGTGTATCCAGATGCTTCACTACTGCTACTTCACTGATATGTTGTTGATGTGTTACTGATAATCTGTTAAGAGTTTATTAATCATCTTCAAAGGAACACTCCAAATAAAGTGTTACCCAAGTGTATTTCATTGGCTTGTGCATTATATTATAATGACAGTATTGGAATACACTATTTGAGAATAAATATCAATAATATAAATCTTAGCGACAAACGTTGTGCTATATCACTAGATGTAATGTTTGCAAATGCAAATCTCGAAAGGAAATCTCATGTCATGTGTATATTATACCTATCAGATATGCACTACCACACCTACAGATTAATGAGGCGAGGCTGATGCTCGTTCATGCTCGAGACCGAGGCAGCATGATCCGGCTCGTTCCTGAAGTGTTTCTCATCTCCCGGCTTTAACTGCTGCTATTCTCAGTCAGATCACATAAATTGCCTAGATCACACAATTTTCCTCATAGCAAAATCAAGTCATTGCCCTATTATGCTTATGTGGGGCTTTTTAATGACACAGTGTGAGGAGAAATTATAATGAACTTTTGAAACATTAAGGGGACGCCTGGACATGTAAGATGATTAGCTTATCACTTCCAGTTTGTTATTTTGGGTCTTGCGAGCCGTTTAAGCTAATTAGTGTCTGAAAGAGTCTAAATTCCTTTGCATTTCAGTGATGTTTCACTTTTGCATAATGTTTAATATACACCATTATATCAGTTTATTCTAAACAAAAATGCAGACGTACCTCAACAGTCACTGTAGTTTATGTGTTTAAAGGAGAAACATTTCAAAAGGAAGAGAAGATTAACTCTGCATGTGCTCTCAGCTGCCAGGAGGCAATTTTCCCCCAGTTTGGGTGATGGGTGTTTGGAGTGTCCAGACTGACTGACCTCATATCAGTTTACAGATGTGCTGCCTCTCGCAGTGCTGGCACCTCTGCCACAACACTTAATGCTGGAAGTCTCAGCCAGTTACTGAATAATATGGATGAGTGTTTCCAT